CCCGGCCTGGACTGTGAACCCGTTTACCGGAGTTGCGGTCGAGGAGCACCTCCGCAACAATCCAGGTGGTAAACCTCTGCTGAAGGCTCCCCACGCCAGTTACTGGAGGGCCATCGGCACTTACCACAACATTGTTGACGGGTCCACCAAGAGCTTTGACGAGGGGTGCTGGCTGGACGACGAGGAGCGCATTAACGCGTACCTGGACACCGACTATTACAGCCCGACGCAGGCCCTTAACAGGGTGTCGTCTTATACGGCGGCCAGCGTGGGGCACCGTGGTTTACCGAAGTCCAGAGGCGCGCGTGCTCCGTCAGTGAGGCGCCCGCGCCGCTCGTAAACGGTGACAGGTTACCGGCATGCCTTTCTTTTACGCTCTCTCTCATCTCCCCTCTCAACCAGGCTTAACAGTAGTGTTGCAGTAGACTATTGAGCTGAATCTATTTGCACGTGCATCTTTTATAGTTACCGCAGGTATTGGCGCATAAAAAGCGAAAGCAATCAAAATCATATAAATGCTAGCCTGCCGTGTGAACTTTGGATGCTACATTTAAACTCGTGACTGATTGAATGTTTACTTGAGCTCACGTTGCATGTCTGAGAGACGTGGTGCTCGTGAACGTTGTTACGAGATATTTCGAATTCGGTGATGTAACGATGTTTATGCAGCCTGTTGCTTGATTTAACCTGTCTTTGAGTTTACAGGCACCTCCCCGTCAGCCAATGCGGACTGGCGTCCGAGGGGGGGTGTTAACATACAAGCGTGCGTGTGACAGGGGAGGAATAGTAACCCTGCTGCCTTTGGCTCAAGTGTTTAACGGTCGAAGCTACATAGACCTGCTTTGCCGTTCGGGGGTATAAAGGTGACCTATCGTTATCATTGTCGCCAAGCTCCCGTGCAGAACCCTCCTCGGGGTTTTGCAGGAGGAGGAGTTTGGGGGGAGTGACTGGATAATCGAGGGGGAACGGTGGGGAAATTACCGACGTAGTAATCAGGGTTCCTGGAGGAGGGTGTACAAGAGAGATGGCATGAACAGGAGCTCGGACTGGGGATTGTGGAGCTAGATCGGCGAAGAAGCTGCACGGATGTCAGCTGACAGGAGGGGGGAGGTAGATCATCTGAACGGTTTTGCCCTCTGCCGCCCTGCATCCTCCTCTCAGGTTTGAATAGGTTCATCCCCCGGATTGACGTAGGTTGGTTAGGTTTCGTGTTGGTTGGTTGGCTGACTGGCATCTCGGTTGATCGGCTTGTTGCCTGGATTGAGATATTGGCAGTTGATTTGGGCTGTCTGCTGGCTGGCTGGCTCCGCGTGTCTGTAGTAGTTGATCAGGAATGGTGGCCTAGGGAGCGCGCTTTCATTGTAATGTACAAGGGTTCGAGGTTTCGGGGGGAGTTCGCATTTTTTTGTTGGATGATTCGTGGCGTCGGGCCCCGAGCCAAATTCCGAGGCAACAAAAGGGGGGGGAGGGGGAGGCGAAACACGTCCCCCGAACAACACACACATCCAAACAGAAAATGGCAGTGTTCCGTTCTGAGGAGGGGTTTGCGCCCCCGCAGGGTGGATTCGTGGCCACGGGGGCACTATGTTGTATCAAGTTGCAAGGGTGTGTGGCTTTAGGGCATCGGCTGTTTGATCGTGTGCTCAAGAATGTAACCTCGGACGCATGGGCCTGGCGTAACCTATCTGGCAGTGTGGCTTGGGAGCCGCGAGTCGTTCATTTTGTGTGCGTGATCGTAGCCTTGGGAGCGCCAGTTCGAAGTAATTTACAAACAGAGTTGTGGCCAAGCTTGGCGCATTTTTTATAGATCGGTGTCGGCGCTCTCCGTCACCTAGCCCTGGTGTTTTCTGTCGCAGTGAGCCCGCGAATCTGGTGTAATATGCCATGGGTTGTGGCTTGTGGGACGCGAGTCCGGTGTCATTTACCAGGATTTGTGGCCTCGGAAGCGCCAGCGCAGAGTAAGTTACAAGTGATCGTGGCTTCGGGGGCGCGAACTTGTAGTAATGTTGAAGGTTTGTGGCCTTGGGACAGCCAGTTGGTCGTACATTGCAACGGGTTGCGGCTTGTTGGGTACCCAAAGAAATTCTGAGAACCCCATTTTCGGGTGGGGACAAGTCTATGTTCGAGCTCTCCCCTCCTCGCGGATTTCAGCCATCACGTACAGCAGTGGACCAGCAACCGGGAAACCAATACCTCATATAATCTGTTGAACTGCGCTTGTTGCAGGGAGCAGGGACACCTATGCCACACCCTGTTGGCCCCAAGAGAGCCAGCGGATGATAGAGGGGATTCTGGGGAAGAGGAGGAGGATAATGAGGAGGGGACGAGGAAGAGGATGAGGAGGAGGAGGAGGAGGAAAAGGAAGATGAAGAGGATGCTGAAGAGGAGGAGGAGGAGGAGGACGAGGCATGGGGAATTGAAGTAGGGATCGCATCAGGGAAGGGCGGAGACGCAATGAGGGAAGTGCGGTGAAAGGAATGGACGAGATGGAACATACTTGGAAAAGTAGTGGCGGAATTATGGCGTTGGGGGGGAAAGAGGAGGGATGACGAAACGGAACAGCAGACGCAGCGGCATGATGAGGATGAGCAGCAGCAGGAGCAGGAGGCTGAGGGTCGGGGGAAGGACGCGGGAGGATGCCGAGGAGTGTGAGGAGGACGATAGGAGGGCGGGAAGAGGACGACGAGGATACGGTCCGCCATCCTCGCATGGAAAACAATGCCGATGATGAGGAGAAGGATGAGGGCGGGGATGCTGCTGATGATGATGATGATGATGATGATGATGATGATGATGATGATGGTGGTGGTGATGATGATGATGTTGATGCCGATGCCGATGCTGATGCCGAGGATGCATAGGATGTTGATGATGGTGTTGTTGCTGTCGCTGGTGCTACTGGTGCTGCTGATGATTTTGATGATGAGTATGATGCTGATGCTGATGATGACGATGCTGCTGACGCTGATTATGATGTTGCAGCTGATGATTAGTATTATGATTATCAGTATGATGATGATGACGAGGATGATGGCGATGATGCTGATGACGATGATGATGATGATGATGATGATGGTGATGATGATGATGCTATAACGATGATGGTGACGACGATGACGATGACGATGGCGATGATGATGATGATGATGATGATGATGATGATGCTGACGAGCATGATGATGATGCTGATGCTGATGATGATGATGATGATGATGATGATGACGTTGATGATGATGATGACGATGATGATGATTATGCTGATGCTGCTGATGCTGATGCTGATGCTGATGATGCTGATGCTGATGATGATGATGATGATGATGATGATGATGCTGGTGGTGGTGGTGGTGGTGATGATGATGATGATGATGATGATGATGATGATGATGGTGATGATGCTGCTGCTGCTGCTGATGATGATGATGATGATGATGATGATGACGGTGATGATGCTGACGACAATGACGATGATGACGAAGAGAAGGAGGAGGAAGAGGAGAAGAAGGAGGAGGAAAAGCAAGAGACAGAGGAGGCATATGAGGTGGGGAGAAAGGCTGAGGGAGAGGGATGGCACCCCAGCGCCGCGCCCTGCGGAGGTGGTCTTCGCCCACGCCATCGCGGTGCCTGTCGCGGCCACTTCCATTGCCCCACTTCCTGCCTGCTTGCCCTCGTCGCCCTCCAGGTCCTTCTCATCCTCCCTCCGCGTTCTCCCCCTCTTCCTCTCCACCTTCTTCGCCTCCATCCGCCATCATCTGGTGGGCATCGAGGCTCAACCCTCCATCGTGCCTGGGTTGTGGGCAAGAGGTGTCTCGGACGCCTCTTGGGGTTGTTCTGGGGCCCTCCCTGGGGCCTTGTTGGCGCCTCTTGGGCTTCTCGCGGGCGTCTTGGAGGCCTGCTGACGGTCTTGGGGGTCTTATTTGGGGGGGGAGTGTCTTTCGGTCCCCCGGATTGCATCTCTCGGGGGCCTCTTGGGCTGTCTTGGGGCTGTGTTAGGCCGTCTTGCGATTAGATCTCTTTTCGCCCTGCGGGTGCGCCCTGAAGCCCGAACCAGCGAGTATGCCTTACAGCATTCAGGGCCTTGCATGCGCACGCCTGTTTATCGGTGTAAAAATATATATGTATTTTGTCTAGGCCTGCGGCCTGTGCCGCCGATCCGGGACGCTCTGGGACGCTTCGTGCGACTTCTTCCTGTTCAATCGTGTGAGGGAGAATGAGGAAGAAAATGATGATAAGGAGGAGGAGGAGGAGGAGGAGGAGGAGAAGGAGGATGAGGATGAGGCTGAGGATGAGGATGAGGATGAGGATGAGGACAAGGAGGAGGAGGAGGGGGAGGAGGAGGAGGAGGAGGAGGAGGACACCATTTTGGCTCAATCAGGCCCCCCCCCCGCCGCGCGCCAGGGGTCGACCGCCATCGCCCTCATCGTGCCGCGCCGCGGGCCATCGCGCAGCAGAGGGGGCACCTGCCTGGGCTCGGGCGCGCAGCCCACCGCAGCGCGGCAGAGGCAGCTGCGAGCCAGGAGGCGTTTGTTGGGCGCCCCGCCGCCGCCGCGAGCGGCAGGGGCAACGCCGGCCCAGGAGAGCGCCTGGCGCAGGCGAGCCCGAGGGAAACGCGCGCAGGCGCTGCTTCTCCTGAGGGCCACCAGTGCGAGCAGGCTCCTCGGGGAGCACCGCGGCGCTCAGCAGCCGCAGCGCCACCAGCAGCGGCCCCAGAACGCGGACGAGCAGAGGAAGCGGTCATCGGGCCCAGCAGTCGGAGAGAACCCATGGCCATGGCGCGCGCAGCGTGCGTGCAGCACCCAGCGCAACCAGCAGCGCCAGACCAGCACAGGATGGACTCAGCAGAAGTTGCACGGTGCTGTATGGTCCCGGGGCCAACGACAGCAGAACAGTGGCAGGAGGACGCGGCTACCAACAGACGCAGGCGAAGTCGCCGCCCGACAGGCGCCACGGCACCAGCAGCAGGGCGGCAGGCGCCCTAGCCGCGGCAGCCACAGCAGCAGAGCATCTTCACCGAGAAGCAGCGCGCCGTGTTCGACATGGTGCTGCCAATATCCTACGAGGAGGCGCAGGGTCATGAGTCGTGGAGCTCGCCGCCGCCCGACCCAGAGATGCCCGAGGCCTGGCGGAAGACCCGCAGCCAGCACCTCGCCAGGTTGGCGGGCAACATCGCATGAGCCCGATCCGCAGGCGTGGCATCCACCAACTTGGGGTATGAGGCAGCGGTCACGGCAGCGAACATCACATTCGTGATCCCACCAAAGGAGAGGCTCCGCCAGCTGTGCTCCACCCTGGAGCGGGCCGAAGAGGAGCTCGCCAGCCTCCAGGCCAGGATCGCAGCACAGCTGGACGAGGAGGCGAAGGGCACTCGGGTCGTGCGGATATACAAGGTGCTTATCCGCGAGACCAAGGACATGATGGCGAGGACCGCAGCCAGTGGCCCGCCGTCGGAGTCTGAGGCTGAAGCCGATGCGGAACAAGCTGGACGAAGCGGGAGCGGAGGCAGAGGACGTGCGCGCACCGCGCCCGGCGGCAGCCAGGCCCCCCAGGCCGGCGCAGCTGCGGGGCCCAGAGTCCCCGCCCCAAGCAGCAGCCGGCCCTAGGCCACCAGCGGATCCTCAGCCTGCCAGCCATCCAGAGGAGACTGCGAAGCTCAAGGCCCAGCTGATGGAGATGGAGCAGAGTCATGAGGTCAGACTACGAAGCTGCTTGCAGGCCATCGCCCAGAAGACCTTGCATGCAGCCCCTGAGCAACTGGAGCGCCAACGGTGGGCTCACCAACGCGAAATGGGCGACGTCGGGAGTGCCGCCCGCCGCGAACTCGAGCACGAGCAGGCTGCCTACCGCATGTGGCCGAGCGGGAATCAGCAGCACCGGCAGGACGAGGCTGGCGCAGCACTGCGGCAGATGCAGCGCCGCCTCGCCATGCAGGCCCAGGCGGAGCTCCAGGAGCAAAGGGGGAGCTCCGATCAGGATGCGCGAGCGCTGGTCGATGCCGCGAACAGGGCTCGGCAAGGCGAGGGCGAGCGCCTGCAGATGGCACGCCGAGTGCGAGAGCGTTGCCACCAGACCCAGGCAGAGCTGGAGGGTAAAGCGTTAGCACTGGCCCAGCAGGCGCGAGCTTCGGAGGCGAAGCGCGCAGCGGAGCTGGGCCAACATGAGGTCCAGGCAGGACAGGACATGATCCTCGAGCTCCAGGCCAGACAGGCGGTCATGGAGACGCACCACGCGCAGCAGGAACGGCGCCTCGTCGAGTTTGGCATGGGGCAGGCCGAAGCCCACCAGCAAGGCAAGCGGCGCATCGAGGAGGAGGCGCGGCAAGCGCGCGAAGACCAGCGTCAGCACATGGCTGCCGTCGGCCAGACAGAGCTGGAGGAACACCGTGCCAGCCGCCGCCACCTCGAGCAGCAGGTGGAGCGAGCGCAGCGCGACGCCTACCAGCACCTGCAGTGGGTCCAATGCGACAGCGCGAGGAGGCAATTGGAGATGCAGGTCCGCCGCGAGCAGGAGACGGCGGAGCTCAACGGCGCCAGAAACGCGCGCCCTTGCGTCGAGTGCGCTGACGGTCGAGACGCTGGAGCTTGATATCCCAGATGAGATGGCGGCTAAGCTGGCGGGCGATGACGCAGTCATGGGCTGCGACCAGGCGCTGGCAGCCCAGGAGGAGGACCACCAACGCGAAGAGTTCGAGCACAACTTGATGACCATCCCCTACCCCCACTGCGGAGTTCGAGCGCCCGCGCAACGGCGCAGCGGTCTGCGCGTGCGAGCTTGCTACGTGCTCCTTTTGCGAGAGGTCGCGCACTTCGTCGAGGCCTTCGACGACGCCCGACAGCGACTTCAGCCTGTAGGACCTCGGAGTCGCGCCGACAGAGAGCAACGCGACCCCACTGCCGAGGGAGGCGCTGCCGCCACCGCCACCCACAATTCCACCGCCGCCACTGGGGCCCATTCTCATAGAGGACCCCCAGATGGTCCCAGTCGGCGACGCCGACGACGCCAATCTTCAGGGCGAGCACCCACCACCGCCCACCCCGGCGCCCACTGACCTAGCAGATGTCACCTAGACGATCGACGCCAACGCGCCCATCCCGACCAAGCAGCTGACATCGCGCCCACCGAGCCCTTCGACCCCGAGTGCCCACCGCCCAGGTTCCACATGTGGACTCCACTGAGGACGTCCTCTGAGCAACCGCTCAGAAGCTCGACGCGACGTGAAGGAGGACGGGGGCGAGCACGCAGCCACCCCGGGAAGGGCAGGATCTGCGACGCGGGCGATGGCTTCGCAGACCCTGGTAACAGGCGCCCCAAGTTCTTCGAAAGCGGCGAGAGCGACGGATTCGACATCGCCTGGCTCGCCCCAAAGAACTGCGTACGAGAGCGCCGGGCGAGGGGCAATTGACTCAGCATGGAGCCTACTGCCCGACGCCAGCGGCGCCGCAGGACCACGGGCCTTGCTTTTCCGACTCGTGCAGTGTTGCAGTTGCGCGTGTGTTTCCCTGTGATCCACGGCTCCTGGCTGGCCGAAAACAGTCATGCGCAACCTGCCGTCTCACTGCCACGGACAGAGTCGCCGACGATGTAGGGCCATGGGGGTGCCATGCACCAGACATCAGCGACAGCTCCGCTAGGGGGTGCCTTAGACGTTCGCCTACCCACCATCGCCACAACCACGACAGCCTGCGACTCGCCAGCAACCAACCAAACCAGCCAAATACTGAGAACTTCAAAAAGGGCACGGTTCACCAGCAATGGGATACCAAGCCCAACAAGCAGCAGCGCACGCACCGCCGAGGTATCGAGGCGACCCCCCTCGGGCCTCATCGATGGCTACTGGCCGCGACATCAGGGGGGCGATGCTTGCAGGCCAATACCGAACCGATCACGCCGTCCAGCTGCTCCAGTCGCCTCGAGTGCGCAAGACCTCGGCGACGCAGCTAACCGACGCCTGCCTGAGATAATCCCTCTGGAGGACAGTGGCAGTCGCCCACCTCAACTGAGTGACCGACAAGCCGTCTCAACAATTGCCACCGATCGCGTCGCGAGCGCAATGCCGCGTCGATCCCCTAGCCCGATGCCCACTCGATCGACTCCCTCAGGACGGCGCCGCGCCACTACAATCCACGCAGCACGGCGCGCCAGGCCTCGCTGGCCACGCTGGCCACGGCGACGAATGCCGGCCAACAGCACGACGCCCACCTGGCATTCCCCCTCAGGGCGGCACTCGACGCTTTATGACGGCACTCGATGAGCTGGAAGCACAGGCTGAGAGGTCGTCCTACCAGACGACGAATGCCATCGAGAACGTGATTGGAGCTGGGCCCAGGAGCTTCCCTTCGGTCCGCCCTCCTGACATGCGCCACGAGAGCGCTGACAGCCGGAAGACAACGCCAATCAAGAGAGCGGGTCGCGCGAGCCGAAAACGCAGCCCACCCCGCCCGACGCGCCCCGCGATTGGAGTGAGATTTAAGGCGGCTGGCCACTTTGGCTCGTAGGCGCCGAATTTTCGCAATGCGACTCGCATGGAGAGTACACCAGGGAAACTACAACAGCACACCCCTCGCGACCACGAACCCGGCACCCGATCGGCCAATGTCGTTGACGCCACGCTGAGCAGCAGTTTCACTGGCATAGAGGACACATTCATGAACGACGGCGTCGGCGGCAACGAACAAGAGGAAGAGGATTGCAGCGACTGCGATGAGACCGGAGGGCCACATAGAGCGAGCCGACCTCCAGCAGCAACAGAGGCCGCAATGATACGACAAACACGTTTACGGACCCAACCGACCTGCAGCAGACCTGGTGAGGGAAGGACCAAACTTCGAGACGGGCTCGATGGGCGGGGGGGCAGGACGAGCACTGCCCGCGCCTGCCAGGGGGGTGGTGAGGGGCAGGGGGGGGGGGGGTCTGGGGGAGAGGGCGGCCACTCTCTGCGCCCCCGCGGCCCGCCCTAGCTCGCCGCCCCCACCATTCCCGCGGCGGAGGGGGCTCGCCCGAGCGCCGACGAGGCGGAGCCCAGGGAAGCCGCGGGCAACCCCATGCCCAGAAGCACCGAGCACCAGGCCTGGGGTTCGCCCCCACCGAGGGCACTGTGACCCCTAGCCAAAGCGGGACGAGGTGGGACCGCCACGAGTCTCATTTGAAGTCGGCGCATGGAGGCTAACTCAGTGCGGCGACGACCGCGCACAACCACCCCCAGCAACATGCCGCGCACACGGCCAACCGACTTCTGACCCAACCGACCAACAACCAACGCCCTCAGCCAACAACAGAAACCCCCAAGGCACACACGAACCAACCACTGTCACCCTTGCGCGACAAGTACACACGACGCCAGCGCACCGACACCTATAGCACCTCACCAGAGTACGAACGGCTATGCAACCCTTTCGACACCACAGGACCACCACCAAGAAGACCATAGCAATGCACCCAAGTAGAGCTGCGAAAACTCAAAGGCGACAACATACCAACCAACGGGCACATACAAAGACAAGCCAACTCAATCCGAGACTGGGGCAGCAATGGCGACGACGGAGGACCCATCATGACCAGCATGAGGAACGATATCGGCACCAGCAAGTACGAGGGACTCAACCATGGTCTAGAACGTAGAAAGTTCACGAAGCAGTATATTGGCAGCTACGGCGCCGCTCCTTTACCACATGCATCGTTGATGGCGACGACTTGCGCCCCGCGGCGCGGTATGCACTACATGCGGCCACTGGTGGGAATGCGCCGCGCATCATCAAACATACCTACAAGGACGCATCTTTCAATTATTAGAAAGCCCGGGTCGTGCGCATGGGCAAACGCCGTACTAAATTGGGCTGAACAGTTCGTTTGCAACTGATCCAGGGGAGCACGCATGGGCACGCTACAATCCTGCTATTCTCTTAACATCAGCGGCCGCGACATCACGAACACAGGCGAGCTGATGGCAGTCGCACAGGCACGTTTATGGACCATTGCATGTCATGGGCGGCAGCCATTGCACGTTTACATGGATGCGAAGTGGTCATCAACATCTGCCACGACAGGGCAATCTCAAAGTCGGACGCCGAGCTTGCGAGTTCCCCCAAGGTCGTCTTCGACGAGGAGAACCAGCTCGCTGCAGCAAAGATCACCTGCGTTCCCAGTCATGAAGGAACGCCGCGGAACGAACTTGCGGATGACATGGCGAAGGGAGGACGACGCAAAACCGAGAAAGGCGAAGCGACATCCATAGTTTCACCAAGCACGCGAGTTTTGGTCAACGCCAACAAGTACTACCAGTGGGGAGGGGGTACTCAGCAGCAGCCACAAGGATCGACATGCATGCCCGCAACGCGCGACCAACCACGTGATCTTCAGAGGCCTACCAGGGACAGCCATGCGAAAACACATAATAGCTCCTGAGCAGCACGTGCAGGAAGAACCCAACATTGTCCTCAACGTCATGACCCGCAACGTCGAGAGCACAGGGGGAGCTAGCAACGTGACAGTCCGCAAGATGACTCAGCAGGCGAAGCTCACCAATCAGTGGCGAGGGCCTGTTCTACGACGGCAGTTTCACGAGCACAAGGTCCGCGTCGCAGGTGTCCAGGAAGCTCGGAATGATCGACGCTCGGCAACCAACAATGGCGACTTCATAGTCAGCAGCCACCACGACAGCTATAACGTTGGAAACGAAATATGGCTCAACACCAGCATCCCCTTGGGCGAGAACTCCAACGGGCCATTGTTCTTCCGGCCCCGGCATCTGCGCGATATCGTGTCTGAACCTCGCCTTCTATTGGTTCGCACCGAGACGAAGGCCATCACATTTCGAGCTTGCGTAGCACGCGCGACGCACTCGAAGAAGAGCGACATCGAGAGGCAGCAGTTCTGGCAACGGCCTATTAGCATTACCGCCCAGCACAAACCGAGCATCATATTTTTGGACGCAAATGGCAGACTTGGGAGCACGCAGTCCGACTGGGCGGACGATGTTGCTTTTGTGCAGAACGAAGACGCCAATATACATGGCCCCCCCATGCAGCGGAGCACAAGTACAAGGGCCTCAAGGCCCTCATGTCCAGCGGCAATAGTCATCACACTTGGAAGGAGGTCTGCAACAACCAGCAGGATCGACTACTTCCTGGCTGATCACGACCGCGCGAATCACTTCAACGATTCCAGCGCCATCGAGGGCATCGAGACCATGGAGAATGGATGTCAAGAAGGCCTCGGACGAGAAGATCACGCACCATTGCGGGCCAGAGCGAGATGGAAGATGCGATATGCCGTACCACTGCAGCTTTTCTCCAACTATGGACAGGCATCAGTTCGCCAACAAGACGGCAGCGGCAGCATGCATTGCTCCGCTGGAAGCTACGTGGACCAAATTGGGAGATATTACAACGATCACATTTACCACTACATGATCACTGCGATGGAAGCAGCGATCTCGGCTTTTGCAAGACAGGACAAGAAGCGCTACCAGGGATACATCAGCGACCACGCAGTCAATATCATCGTGGACAGGAGGAGGATCGTACATATGCTACGAATGGCAAGCGCTCAGGGATGCCGGCAGGAGGCGGTATAACACATACTGTTAAAGCAAGCATATGTTACGGTGGAAGAGCCAACCAGGAGCATGCTGCACCGCGTCATGCACGATACCTACATGGAAACCTACAGATTGCGTTGCCCTACGGTCCTGGCGATCGAACATGACCAGTTCGAAAGGTTTCTTGAAGCATCCAAGTCGTGGGTCTCCGCTACCAAGAAAGTCATCCCTAAGCTCGCCAACAAGGACTTCGACCCGTACCTCGAACTGCAGGCACCACAAGATACCGAAGCGAGAGATGACCACCGGCACCACGACGAATGGAAGAGCACAGGGTCTTATGTTGTTCGGGGGGAGACGCCGATGCAAAACAAGAGCCAGCTCGATGATCGACGAACAAGGCGCACCAATGGTAACCGCACAAGAAAAATGACAAATAGCAACAAATCACTTCGGAAACAATGAAACAGCTCGATTACTACAGAAAAGCGACATTGTCACATGATACAACCAGAGCGACGACATAGCCGGCAACGGCTTGCAAAGACACATCGACATTTTCGCCAGTATCAGCGAACTGCGGGAGATCCTGGCCGTCGCCCAGCCGTTTCGAGCGCCAGGACCACATGGCATCACATACGACCTTGCCAATATTGCGCCAAGGGAAATGGCCAGGCATATGCGTCTCACCATTACGAAGGCGGCGCTCTATATCAGAGAAGGGGTCGCCCGCGAAGGCTCGAGGATGACGTATTTCTGAGCAGGCAAGGGCGGCGACGAGCAGTTAGGCTACCAGAGAAGCATCGCGCTGGCCGGTGCGATCATGAAGCACCACTGCCGATACGTCAGTGCCTACGGGACGCGACGCCCAGCATATTCTTCAGCGCACAGATGGGCGGACGACAGCGCTGCAGCGCCGATTTCAAACACCTCGCGGTGCGACTACCCAAGGACATGGCCAATGGGGGGCACCTGGACCCACTCATCTTACTATCGAGCTAAAGGCTGCCATCCACAAGGTCATCAATGTAATGGTCTACAACATGCAGCACAGCGTCGACGACGTACAGGATGCCCTCAGCAACGTTCAGATACCAGAAGTGATGGTCCCTTAACCCGACAGCGTATGTAATACCGCGTTTGTTCCTCGACGTATCGACAACGAACATATCAACGCCATGCTCGCATGAGCACATCGAGGCACATGGTTCTACATCCATCCCGACGCCGAGCATGCCATGCCACGACTTTGATCAAGGCCTTTAATGCACTAGTGGCTGGAACTGCCAGGGGACACCACCGCCGCGCGAGCATAGCGGCCGCCATGGTCGATATACCGCGTGCCGACCCCATCTTGCAGCAAGACCACGACGACACAACAATCATAACCAGCACCTCATCCGGCGAAGACGCCAAAGCTGCAGCCACCACGGACCACGGCGACACTCTTGGCGACGCGGTCGGCACTAAGTGGCACCACCTAGTACGAGCACTGCCAGAGGGCTTCCGATTGACACTCGTAAATCCAGCTTCCTCATCTTCGCAAACACGGTGCGCGGTATGCGCGAGGCCAGGGAATGTTGGAGGAATGGTAAGCAGCTCGCTGGCATGGATATCAAGCTGAACGCCGCCAGATCCACCAAGCTACTCGGAGCCATGTACAGCGACAGGAACGACCTCGCCCAGGAGATCGCAGCTCGTACCATAAGCCTACAAGAATCCGAGCACAGCATACGACTACCACCGCCAAGATCGAGAATAACCTACGATGCGATTTGGTGCAGTTTTGCTTTGGTGAAAAGCCAGCAGCCCTCCTCCCGCCGCCAACGGCAACTGGGCTGCCCCCTCTCTGTTAAGGACCGAAACAGAATTCATCAAAGCATGGGCGGTGGTGGTGTCATCAATGTTGGTTGCCGACAGGTGATTCTTATACACCACCACCAAGAAGTGCTGCTTCTGCTTCGGGAACGCCCCATGCCACGGCGCCGGCGAGTTGCGCCGCGCTCATTCTCGCCGTGGCGTCGCAGCGTCGTCTAGCATGACCCTGCCCTGAACCCTTTTTGCGGCCAGTTGCTGTTACGGGCGGTGGTGGCGCATAATAATTGGCCTCGCGAAGAAGCGACAGCACCTGCGAGGCGAACGTCATTCCAACGGCCACGCCTCACGACGAACGCAAAGAAGCGCTACCTCGTGGCCTGTGGACCCCCCAAACTACTCTGCAACGCGGGCGCGTGGATCACCAGCACGGCGGGCGACAGGTCTCCCCTCAGCGCCGCATATGTCCGAATTTCGCGACAGGCAGCCTGCATAATACACAACGAGATGAAGACAAAGGCGATCACAGACCTCGAGCTTCTGGCGAGACTCAAGATCCCGACCTTGCAGACTCAGACAGTTAGGGGGGCTGGCTCATCAATGCCCACGAGAGCATCAGGCACTAGTCGACTACGACATTATCCACGGAGGAAGCTGGGCCACCACAATCAACGAAGACACCTGCCCCCCCCGCCCGTGCATCGACGACAGGGGCCCAGCCGAGGAGATCTACGACGTGGCAACGTGGATCAAAGCGACTCAACTGGAACCATCGACTACCAGACACGCTGCACGATCATTCAGCCACCGAGCAATTATCTGGATCAAGGACGACGCCGCACACCACAAGTGGCAGGCTGCCATCAACCATGCCAAGGCCCGCCCAAATCGAGAGGCCCACTGCTGAAGCCACAACAACGACGACATCGCCGACGGCAGGAGGACGTCCAGCATACATGTGCCAACGTTGCGGATCTACCGCTGTCAACAAGGCAGCCCACGCCAAGCACGTGAACAAGCGCCACCAACCGCAGCACGACATGGCACAGGTAGCGACGGGATTACATGCCACATATACCTAGAGGACTTCACTGCCCCAACCGCTTGCTCAAACGCGTCAAAGCGTCCGAAACATGCGCGCCCTCATGGTTCCACGCTGGGCCACGGCCCACCTACGAGGAGCACGACGCGAACGAGCGCGAAATCCGACGAAGCCACGGCAACAAAGACCTGGGACTGCCTGAGGATTTCGCCAGCGTGCCAGTCACCCAGATGATGGGGCCCCCCCGTCGGCCCCTGCGCCACTGACGAGACGCGCCACTGCGCGATCGCCCCGCCGCGCGGCGAACGGCGACCCGGGAGTGCACGACGACCTGCAAGACGCCGCAACAGCGTCGGATATTACAGTCGCCAGCAGCATGATCGCTGGTATCGCTGACGAGCAGCAGACTATCCGTGAGATCACCGAGGCCGTCATGGGGAACACCTACAGAAGGGGCAAAGGTATCATGGCCCACGCGCGCTGCGACGGCGATAAGGCCCGCCAGGAGTCCGACCAGATAGCCAGCTCCATCCATAATAAACAGATCTCGAATGTCAATAACGACGACATCCAAGCGGGTCAGCGAGGACAGCGGGCGCCATGGGGAGCGCGGAAGGCAATGCCAAACGCCAAACCATACATAATGGTGATCAACGAGTTCTTCAGGCCTGCAGTGTACATCGGATATTTGTGCATGGCCCACGGCATCCAGTGTTGCACGCGCGAGAACCGCGACGAGCTAAATATGGCGGAGCACCTGGGTAGTCGCGCAGACTGCAGGACAAGGGCCACGCCGAGTACAACATGGATTCCAGCTGAAACGACCGAACAGCTGGCCACGACAATGGAGAAGTCAGATGGAGAACCATGCCCGTCAGCAGCATGAGCTGTGCCGCGGCACAACCATGGAACTGCGACGACAGTGGAACGACAGTTTGGATTGGACCTTGGTGCGAATGCGACGACGTACAAGACGCGGACCACCCAGTTGCGTCTGTGAGGGGGCGGCCCCCGACGCACTCGCCGCGGCATTTGAGGCATGGGAAGCCCCGCCCCGCGCATAAGTCGCCAAGTTTTGCCGCCCGTGGAAGGCGGCGACTGTGAGGGAACGAGCCCCGACGCACATGGCGCAACGCTTGAGGCATGGGAAGCCTCAGGCACACGTCGCCGCGCTTTGCCGCACGTGGAGGATAGCGTCCGTGAGGGGGGGGCCCCCGACGACCCATCCACCCCGCTCGAGGCATGCACTGCTCAGGAGCTGGGACTCCCAGAGGGTGCCAGCCTCGAGCGGGCATCGCCGCGTTCTGCCCCAGTTTATAGACAACGCAGATCGCAGCAAGGCGGACAACATGGCTACTTCAAGTACGACGGCGCCAGCGATCACAACTGCAACCAGCGGGGCAAAGGCCTCGGGGGTGGCAGCGACAGCCAACGCGACCAGGGCCTCCCCGACGACAGCGACGACGTGAAGGCGGGGAGCCACGCCGTGGAGGATGAGGAGGGCAAGGAAGGCTTGTCACCACAGCGCCTGGCGCTGAAGGGCGGTGACAGCCCCCCCCCCCCCGCCCCCCCCCCCCCCCCCCCCCCCCGACTTCCGCAGCGCCGCTGGCGCCGATGGGCGGGGCGCGGGGCTGGCCCGCGAAGAAACGCAGCAACCGCCCGAAGAGGGGCCGCAGGCCACCCTGGCCTGGGCCCATGCCCATGCGAGGGGCTTATGAGCCAGCCCCTTGGGCCAGCGCTTGAGGGCGACCGAGCGACCGACGGCGACGCCACCCACGCGAACAGCAGGGTCGAGGACCCCCCCTCTGCGGCGAGCGCGCCGGCCCGTTGGGCGCGCCTTCGGGGCGCAGGCGGCCGCGAGGGGGGCGAGGTCGTCTCCTGCGTCTTGCACCGGGGCCCGCGGGGGCCGTGCGTTGACGGCCGCCCAAAGGCCCCCCGAGACCCTTCCCTCTTTCTTCTGGTGCCCATGAGGCCCGTATCCTTGTCCCTTCCTCGGGGTCTCTCGGGAGCTCGGTCGCCGCGCCTAACCCTGTAGGGCCCTCCGTTTTCCCATTTCTTTTGGATTCACGGCCGCTGTCTCCCGGGTCTTTTCCTGTCTTTGGGGGGGGCCTAGCATCTGCGTGATCATTTGGTTCTCCCACCATCACCTCGGCAATGCTTGCGCGTGAAGGAGGTCGTCCACCAGTATCGGAGTGGTGGTCGGGGACCTACGGGCCTTGGGTCCCCGCCCTTTTCCCCCCCTTTTGAGGCCCTCTCAGGCCGTTTGGTTCGCGGTTTCTCTCCTGTTCCTCGGCAGGGGTTCTTGGGCCCAGAGATTTTTCCCTGATGTTCCCACCTCCTGCCCTAGTCTAGCGGCTGAGGCAGAGGGTGGGACAGAGGTCTTGTTGCGCGCGCTCGGCCCGCGGGCCCGCGGGTGGGCGCGCGCGCTCGGTGACGGCGGATAAGACCGCCGCGTGGCCGCCAGTGCGCGAGGAGAAGGAGGAGGGGGAGGAGGAGGATCACAAGGATCACAAGGAGTACGAGGGGGAGGAGGAGGAGGAGGAGGAGGAGGAGGAGGAGGAGGAGGAGGAGGGAGGAGGAGGAGGATGAAGAACGGGAGGAGGAGGAGGAGGAGGAGGACGAGGAGGAGGAGGAGGAGGAGGAGGAAGAGGAGGAGGAGGAGGAGGAGGAGGAGGAGGAGGCGGGGGAATGGAGGAGGAGGAGGAGGAGGAACAGGAGGGGGATGGTGCTGGCAATCGCCTTAGGAGGAAGTCTGTGGTGAATGGAATGTTTGCCTCGCGTCCGTGTGTTGAGTTGTTGGCGGACTAGTTCTCCGACGGGTTGGCTCATTCGTGGGTGTTTGCGCGGGTCGTAGCGTGAATGCGTTATCTTCTGTTGTTCCTTCCCGTCCTGTCCCTATCTTGTCTAATATGGTGGCCTTTACCCCAGTCAGCCACCGTGCCTTGGTTGCGGGAAGCTTGTCAGGGGCCTTTAGGAGGCAGTTCAAACGCCTCCCCCCTTATGGAACGAAAGCCGAATTCCTCCCTGCGCATCGTTGGCCCTGAAAGCTGTGGGCAGGCATGTGTTTCAGCGACTGCGCGCATCGCCCGCCTCCCTCCTGCTGCGGCCCGTGACCGCCCGCAGCGGGTCCGATCTGGAACGCGCCGAGGACTTGGCATCGTTCTGACGTATGTATGTATGTGTGTGTGTGCGTGTGTGTGTGTGTGTGTGCGTGTGTGTGTGTATGTGTGCGTGCGTGTGTGTGTGTGCGCGCGTGTGCGTGTGCGTGTATTTGTGCGTGTGTGTGTGTGTGTGTTTGTTCGGTGGGGGCCATCGAGGAGAATGTTGGGCCATCTTGCCAGCAGATGCGCGCACGAAACCGAACAGCTGCACGGGGAAAGGACGTTCGAGCGGCTGCGAGAGGAACGCGCTCGTCGCAGAGGCCCGCGTCGAACGACAGGCCCCCCCTCTCTCCTGGGTTCTCCCCACCTTCCCTCCCTCCCTCCTTCCCCTCCCTCCCTCCTTCCCTCCCTCCCTCTTTTCCTTGCTTCCCCCCCATGACCTGCCCTCGTTCTTCCCCCCTCCCCCCCCCCTTTGGTGTCTCTCCGCCTCTCCCCTGGCCTGGCTCTCCTGGCCTCTCTCCCCCCTCTGCCTCCCTCGCGCTCTCCCTCTCGCTCTCTTTGGTTATCATTGCCTCTGTTTGTTTTGTTTTTAGATTTCTCTCTCTCTCTCTCTCTCCCTGTTGTTTGTTGATGTTGGTTGGTTGTTATGTTCGTTCCTCTCAATCTCTCTGTCTCTCTCTCTCTCTCTTTGCCAATTTCTTATTATTGTTATTATTGTTATTATTATTATTAATATTATTATTATTAGTATTATTATTATTATGAATGTATCTCTCTCTCTCTCTTTCTCTCTCGATCTCTCTATACATATCCATGTATACATTCATACACATACATAAATGAAGTTTCCAGGCGTATCTATGAACATGTGTACACATACGCAAACACATCAATCCTCGCATATGTGTATGCCTATCTCTCGCCGCCCTGTCTCAGTGTGGCGCTCGCTTTCGCCTTCCTTCCCTCCCGCATCTCCGCTCTCCCTCCCGCAGGAGCTCTGGGGAGGAGGAGGACGACGAGGAGGAAGGAGGGCTCCCTCCTAGTCGCCTTTTGTCTTGCCCTCCCTCCCTGCTTCCCGTCCCTCGCTGCGTTTTTCTCGCGTCGCCCTCGTCCCCGTCCTCGACGTCGTCATCGTCGTCGTTCTGCTCCCCCCTGCCTGCCCGACGACGACGGCGATGGACGGAGGCGAGGGGGGGGCGAGAGCACAGGTGCTGCTCGTCTCTGTCGTCTCGGCGGAGTTCTTCGACTCACACCTGTCCGGGCCCGCGCCGCCTGGAGAGAGGATGAGGAGGGGGGGGGGAAGGGGGGGGGAGGATCGGACGCGGCTAGGACGAGGATAAATCCGTTCCAGACCGTGCCAGAACGTTCTCAGAGCGTTCCTGAACGCTCTGTGATCACCAGTCGAATCCGAGGCCCAGCCCCAACCCCTCGAAACTTTTGAAGTATATTGCCCCATGAGGAGGGGGATGACGGGTGGGGAGGCCTTTACATGGCAGGGTATCCCCGGAGGAACTCGAGGAGGAGGCTCCTGTCGCCCCTCTCCTTCACCCATCCCCCCCTCCCCGTCGTCCTCCTTCCTCTGTCCTCCTTACTCGCCCACCCTCCTCTTCCTTCTCCTCTTTCCACTTCTCCTGCTCGTCCCCCCTCCTTCGTCCTCCTCCCCGCTCTCTCCCCAGACATCCGGCGCTCCAGTCTTTTCGATACGTTGCCCCTGGAAGCCTGCAGGGGCCAGTGTTTCGTCCCGAGCCGTTTCTGGACGGCCCACTGCCTGGAGTGTGGATCTTCGAGGACATCGATTGGCGGTGGATTCGGACGGAAATATTCGTGCCCCATGGGGCCCAAATATACCAATATCCACCGCTCGCCGGGACCCCACCAGAGAAAAAATACCCAATCATTGGATGGTTTGATGAGATCGATGGTGAGATCGAGATCGATTGAGTTTGATGAATAGTGAAATCGATCATGAGTTCGATAATGAATCGTGGGGGTGATAAAGAGATCGATAAAGAGATCGACCGGGAACCCGGGAACCTGGGAACCCAGAACCCACCGAAATCGGCCCGGAACCAATAACCAGGATCCCGGGAACCCGGAACGGGGAACCCAGCCGGCTATAAATCGGCGGTCAAGTTTTGCCAAATTTTTGAATTCCCGCTAGGACCCCTTAAGAGCAAGCACTGATTGGGGAATGTCCACCGCTCGCCGGGGTCCCAGGACACTGGTTCCACAGGCGGTGGATATGGAGATATCCCCGCCTCGCACCTGGGGCCTGCTGAGGGCTGACATATCCCAAAACCGGCCGCTCCAATTTGTGCGGAGCCTCGGATCGTTGGGCCCAGCGCCCGAGCGCCAGTCTTTTATCGGTGGCACACATCAGCGAAGCCGTGAATGTCCTAGAAACTCCGTCTGTGCAGTGCACCAGCTTGCGCTGAGGTCGGTGGATCGATGAGAAAGCTTACGGCGGTTAGCGCCGATTTAGCGCCGATCTGGCGGAGCCTCGGATCTCTGAGTCTGCCCTGCCCTGCCTGCTTGTTGCTCGCCTCCGCGGAGGAGGTTGCCTGAGGAGGAGGAGGAGGAGGAGGAGGAGGAGGAGGAGGAGAGGGAGAAGGAGGAGGAGGAGGAGGATAGTAGGATGATTAGAGGAGGAGGAGAAGGAGGAGAAGGAGAAGAACAGGAGAACAACAGGGAGGAGGAGGAGGAGGAGGAGAAAACAAGACACTAAGAAGGAGAACGAGAAGTGGAGAAGTGAAGAAGAAGGAGAACTCAGGAGCGTCACGCCCCCCCCCGCACCCCATCCAGCCTGGAGCCCTGACCGCTTGCTGCCCGCCGCCGCCGCCGCCCCACCTCCCCCCACGGTGTGAGTTGCTCACGCGAGGGCTGCGCCGTGTGCGTGGGCTTTGAGTCTGGGTCGTCGCTCGGCCCCGAGGGAGGATGCGCGGATCTCTTCGAGCCAAAATGGCCGGCCCCCGCCGCGCCCTGGCGGGCGCGCGGCCCGCGGCGGGCGGCGGCCCAACGCCGCCGCGGCGCCGTGGAGGATGGCGCCGGGCGCGGTGGCCGCGAAGGCCGCGGCGGCGGCTGCGGGGGCGGCCGCAGGCGGGGGGGGGGGACAAGCCTCTAAGATGCGTCCAAGAGGACCTCAAGATGGCCCAAGATGGCCTCGGGACGGTCCTAGAGGGCCTCAAGATGGCCCAATATGGCTTCAAATTCAGACGGTTGTCCTAGGAGTCTCCAAGACGGCTCCAAGAGGACGTTCAAGAGCCCTCCCAGAGTCAAACAGCATTGACTTCCAGGTAGTGTTTGACGGATGTTATAATACTGTTAAGATTTCTCAAGGCGTTCTGAGGCCGCACCCTTCTGCATCCAGACAGAGAGAAGACGCCGTGCACGTCAGAGGTGCTTGGGGCATGAAAGCTGGCGCCGACGCAACGGCAGCAGAACGCCGTGAAACACTTCGAACACCCCATCGTCGCCAACTCCGTAGACAGGGCGTGCCTGACAACTTGTACACATCCCCCTCGCCATGAGGCCCCCCAAGGTGGACGACCCGGGAGAGCAACGGCAGCAGGAGGCAGAGGAGGGAACGACGCCAGGGGACCAGGACATGCAGCTGGAGGAGGGAGGAAAGCGAGCGACGCGGGAGGACACCCAGGAGGAGGGGAGGGGGGCGACAGACCGGGCGACAGCCTCGGGGACGAGCGGAGGGGGGCAGCAGACAGAGGAGCGATGCAGGACAGCGGAGGAGGGGGAGACGACACCGCCTGGAGGCCAGGCGGGCGGGGGAATTGAGGGAGCATGTTGCTTTTGATTTGTTCATCCCCTAAAGCACATGATAAAAGTCACGGCTCGAAAAAACGCCTGGCAGGTGCCTGCCATGTGCCCGGCGGGTCCTGTATCATTCCATGCAGCGCGTTGCTGTGTCCTGCCGCTCTGACAGCCAACCCGTGGACTTTCCATTTCCACGTGTTTCTTGGCCGTCCCCTCAAACGGGGGCCTTCTTTCTTTGACATCGCGAAGGAATGCGGTTTGAATGCGCACAGCCGAACGGGGCTGTCGTTCGGGAGAGCTGCGATCCGACCCAACAGGCATACCCGCCTGTACGCAAGCGTGGCGCTGACAGCCTCCGCAAGTCTGCAAAACGGTCGCGTTGCAGACGCGGCTCTTAGTACGAGTGGCCGATGCCGGCCATTCTGCGCAGGCGCCGCGCTTAAAAAGCGTCAATATTAATGCTGTCAGGCACGTTGAGCCACAGCGTATGAAGACAGTACATTGTTTTGGCCGCGACGCAGGCTTCAACTATGGCAGTTTTTTTTTCTTCCTTCAGGGGGCCAACGAGCATGTTTCAAAAATTAGCATATTGCGTAACAGTCGTTATACACCATGCCGATCCTCCTGTTCAGTTCTGCACTATTGGATCCCGAAGAATCCAAAAAGGCTTTCAAGGTACAGAAAAAGGATCCTTCTCCGGGATCCGCGCGCCCTTGAGCCTGCGAGTGTCCGCTGCGCAGCGTACGGGCGGAGTTTCCAAATTGTCCCAGCTGAAAGCAAGGCTATCGTTCTTGCCTTTCTCTTGGGTTGCCGTCATCATGGCGCCGACAAAGTCGGTGGTCAACCCGACCAGCAAAATGTCGCTCGCGTCGTTAGATGAGCTCGCCGGCATGGAGCCGTCCGTCAGTTGGAAGCCGTCGTTCTGGCAATCTTTCTTTTGCGCCATGCATCAGCACGGTCGTGACGATCGAGAAGAGGAATGGCGACAGCGGGCATCCCTGAGAGATCCCCGACTGTTGCGGACGCTGTTCCGACACCGCCCCGGCGTCGCGGACACGGAAGGAACGATCCGAGTAGATCGACCGCGCATTCTCGGCGAAGATGTTGGGCACGCCGAAGCGCGAGAGCGCTTGCAGCAGGGCGTCTGGCGAGACGCTATCGAAAGCTTTCGCCCAGTCCAAGGCTAGGAAGACTAACTTTCCTGATTGCGCATCCCAGACGTCCCGCAGCCTGATCGAAATCCAAACTGGGTCTTCCAGATCCTAGACTCCGCGCCCGCGCCGTTCAGCCGGTTGAGCAGAGCAGACGCGTATAGTTTGTAGCCCACAGACAAGGATGAAGTAATGCAATAGTTTGCGCATTTCGCCGCGTCCTTCTTTGCGAAGATGGCTGTGACGACGGCCTGGTGCCGCGCGTCTGGCACCGACCTCTCCTCCCAGCATCGGGTGCACAACGTGGTCGCCCATTCGCACTCAGGCGCGCCCTCCCTGCACAACGCTTCCCAGAATTCGGCGGGCACGCCGTCTGCTCCAGCAGCGCGATTGCGCTTCAGCCCGCGGGCGACTCGGCATGCCCCCGCCTGAGTGATGGGGGCGTTGGGAAATGTCGAGCTCCGGCCCCAGAGGGCTCAAGTTATCCACAATCGTTGTCGGACGCACCGCCCACTGCACGTTGGAGAAATATTCCGCCAACGTCTCTGCTCTATGGTCGCTGTCGACAAGGCGGCCATCGGAATCCTTCATTATCCCATGTGCTGCCGCTGGACCTCATCAGTTTTCTCACCTCGGCCCAGTCGCCGTCGGTTTATCGACTGTCGAGCCAAGGTGCCCGGTCATTACTTTCTCTCGCGCGAAATCCTTGTTTGTCCTCGCTTTACCTCGTAGCGAGATGAGCTGCAGCGTCCTGTCGTCGATCCAGGGGCGCCGCCGCGCCGCCGGTAGTGCGGGCAAGCAGCTTGCGGCGGCATGTTGGAAAGCCCCTGTGATGTTGCCATCGAATTGGTTAAGAGAGTCCTGCGGCGCGCTGCCCTTAGCCATGTGCTCCGCCAAGCTGTCGCCGAAGCGAAGTTCCGAGCCACGGTGACGTCGGCCAGGGCTGAGTGGTCCAGCCGCTGCCCCCCAGTCTCGCGCTTCGGTTCCAAGGATATCTTGAGCTTGCACTTGAGTTGGGAAATGGTGCGAAGATAGGGCTGTTTCTCTGCGGCTCTCCACGCCCACCAGGCTCTGCAGCAGACGCCGCGGGCATGACAGAAAGTCGATCTGCCCGAAGTGTCGCGGCAGCAGCGGGTCGGAAGGGCGAAAACCGACGTGTTAGCAAGTCACCAGGTGATCTGGATCGGGCTCGAAGAACGTGCTTGCGATGGCAAGCCCATGGCAGACGCAGAGTTCGAGTCCGATTAGGATCTGCATTGAATTGCGCCCCGCAGGCTCACCAAAAGACAGACAGATAGCTAGCCAGACAGATAGCTACAAACTGTTCAAATAGAACCAACCTCGCCCCAAGACAGCTAGAAGGCCCCCCAAGAGAGCCCCAGGACTGCCGACAAGGCCATCGAAACGGTCCCAGTTGGCTTCAACATGGCCCAAGATGGCCTCAAATCAAGACGGTCCACCAGTGAGCCTCCAAGACGGCTCCAAGAGGACGCCCAAGACGCCTCCAGAGGCAAACAGCATTGACGTGCTGGTGTAGTGTTCGACGAATGTTGGCATACTGGCCTTTTCCGGCCCCCAAAACGCTTTAATTAATTTGGGCCCTGAACAGACTCTCCAAAGGCTGCCCAAACGGCTCAAAGAGAGCCCCCACGGGATGCTCAAGAGGCTCCACAGATAAGCCTCCAACATGCGTTGAAGAGGGTACCATGAGGAAAGGGGAAAGGAGGCCCGAGGGAAAAGAAAGAGGATATCGAGGCTGTGGACAAGGAAGAGGTGTTCAAGGTCAGCTGCAGGTCAGCACCCTGTCTGAACTCTAGCGGGTCTTAAAAAAGTAAACCTCTATAGTCCAATTGGCAGTTAAGAGGCCCCCAAAGAGGCCTTGAAGAGCCCACCATCAGGCCACCAGAGGCTTCCCAAACTGTCCTCAGAGACTCCTGAGGTGCCCTCCAGAGGCCCCCAGACAGCCTCCAACACGCGCAGCAGCAGGTGGAGCAACAAAAATATGGAAGAGGACAAGCTAGCGCTGGCCCCACATCTGACATCCCATGCCTCTCCCATCCCTTCCCACTGCACTGTTTTGTTCACTATCCGTGGAGGCGTGTCATAGCCGATCCAGAGCCCTGGAGGAGACCCCATCGTGCTATGCGCAGTCGGAGTAGGGGAGCTGCGAACATAGGACGGGGAGGTGGCGGGTGGCTGGGGGAGCCGAAGAGCTGGTTTGGAAAAACAGGAACGGCGTAAACATATCATTCGGAACTCCGCGCGGATTTCTCGGATCGGCGCTGGGCTTCCCCAGCGGCGCCTCTAGCGCCGATCCAAGAAATCCGCGCGGACCTGCAACAGTTTCTATTCATGCCGCAGGCGAGGGGGGTGAGCGTGGGGCGAAAGGACGCAGGGCATGAGGGCGGGGGTGCTGTATTCCAAGCCTCCCAGAGAGCGTTTTTCCCCCTGGCCCGCGATAGCGCGCGTGACTGGTAGGGGGGTGAGGGAGGGGTAGGAGGCCGGTCACGTCGCGATTCGCGCCGGTGCCGTCAGACGGCGCTGGCGCGAATCGCGACGTGACCGGGGGGGGCGAGGAGGGGGGGGCGGGGCCGGTCACAGCGATGCCACGAAATAGTGAAAGGCGGGCTCAAGCAAGGGTGTGCTGCGGCGGCCTCTGCACGGTGGCCGGCGGCGCCCCCCCCCCCCCCTCCTCCTCCTCCTCCTCCTCCTCCTCCTCCTCCTCCCAGATGGGGTCAGCGTAGATGGGGTCGGAGGACCTCGCCGCATCGCCGGTGCATCGGCAATGTGGAGGCCGATGTTCTCCAAGGCAGCGGCGCGGATGCACTGCTGGCCTCGCCGATGCATCGCCAGTGCATCGCCGATGCATCGACGATGCGGCGCGAGCCTCCGACCCTATTCATCGAGGCCTGTAGTGGAGCGTGGGATGGAAGGAGGGGGCGGGACGGGGAGGAGGGGGAAGGGGGAGGATGAGGAAGGAGGATAACGAGGAGGAGGAGGAGGAGGAGGAGGAGGAGGAGGAGGAGGAGGAACATGGGAGTGGAGGGGAGGACGAAAGGGGGGGGACGGGACGGGGCGGGGAGGAGTGAGACGGGAAGGAGGAAAGAGGATCACGATGAGGATGACAAGGATGAGCAGGCTTAAAGAGAGGAGGAGGAGGAGGAAGATGATGAGGAGGAGGAGGAGGACTACTAGGATGACGACGACGACGACCACGACCACGACCACGAGTTCGACAACAACGACGAGGACGACGATAACGACGACAACGACGACGACTGGGGTTCCGACGACGACGACAGCGTCAGGCGACGACGACTGCGTCTCCTCCCTTCCGTCGCTTTCTGTTCCTCCTTCCCTCCATTGTCTTCCCCAGGTGCACGCCGCCATGCTTCGCCTCTGTGCCACTTGCTGGGGCCTGAATTGTCGTTTCGCCGACGTCGGTCGTCCTCTGGGCCGGTGTACTCATCCGCCTCACGCTTTTCCTCTCACCTCCTGAACTCCTGCCCCTCGGCATAGCTCGAACGTGAGATTTCTTCGTTTCTCGGCGAAGGCCATCGCGGAGCATCCTGAATCAACTTGCGAAGAATACGCGCACGAAACCGAAACATGCACTTGGAATGCACGCCCGAGCGATGGCAAGGCCCCCCCGCGAAGGCGGTGAGCCTGGCGCGCCCGGCGGCGGCCGCGCCGCCCGCTGGAAGAGGGCGCTGCTCCGCCGCGGCGCCGCGGAGAGCGGGTGCGGCCCGCGCTCTCGGAGGGCACGGGGTACAGTCGGCCCGAGGTGTAAAGGGGCGAGGTCCGTTCGGGGAGGGCACTCTGGTTGGGATCTATTGGTCGAGGGGTGGGCGACTAACCTTCCGACGGAGCTTGCCAATCCCCCTCTCCACCTCCTCCTCCCCCTCCTCCTCCCCCTCCTCCTCCTCCTCCAACCCCCTCTCGTTCCGACAGCACGTGCCCAATCGCCCCAGCGGATCCAAGAGGGGGGCCATTATTGCCCAATACAGAGTACCATAATGCTCTCCGTGTTTGCTGGATGTCCTGGGGGATGGTATTCTGGAAGGTTCTTCAGCTTGGGCCGGCGGAGGGTCTCGCGTTCTCGAAGGATGTTTTTCTGTCGTAGGTCCAGGTGTAATGCGCTCGGTCTACGGCGTGTTCGCGTCGTGTCGACGCGACGGCCACCCCCAGCACGCGACCAGTGGTCCGAGTCTCCCTCAGAAATCGGAGCGGCCGGTTTTTGGCCAGTTTCTGTCTCGGGGGGCCCTCAACGCTCCCGGGGTCCGTCAAAAAGTGGCTCAGGACGACATGAAGCCCCTAAGGAAGTGGTCTAGATTTCCGGGGGTCCACGCGTCGAGCAGATTGGAGAGGCAGATGCCTGGGCGTGCTCAAGGCTGAACGCTGCCGGTGGCCCTAAATTGATTGACATCGAACGGTCTGCGCTGCGCTGTCGGGAAGCCGCGATCGTTGAAGGTTGAACGATCCACGTGGTGTCAGAAAGCAACGCTCAAGTCGCATCGACGGGAATCAGCCGTGACCGATCCCCGTCCCCACTGGGCTACTGGGCAATCGTATCCCAACCCAGCCCCCCCAGCCTCCAGTGTGGTGACAGGTCCCGTGGATGGAACAGCATACATTCCCGACTTACGAGGACGTCGGCCAGTGGTGCAAAGGCTGAGTATGCCAGTGAGGATTTGGGTTCGGTTCAACGGTGCTTGAACGGTGCACCTTCCATCGATCCTGGCCAGGCCGATCCTTTGCCCAGGATTCGTGCATATGCCTCCCCGCTCGAGCTAGGAGGGCGCGTATACCCATCGGTCGTTGAAAGTCGAATTGTTTATTCCAATTTCATACGACCACCCTTCGGGTGATAAAAAGGTTGGGGGGGGAGAGGGGCGGAGCCAACATCTGACTCAATCGATCTCTCTATCGACCTCACTCAACGGGACACCATGGGAGACCACGGGACACTTGTCGATCTCTCTATCGATCTCACTATCGATCTCACTTAACGGGACACCACGAGACACCGCGGGACACCTCTCGATCTCACTATCGGTCTCTCTATCGATCTCACTATCGATCTCACTTAACGGGACACCACGGGACACCACGAGACACCTGTCGACCTCACTGTCGATCTCACTCTACGGGACACCTCGGGGCACCAAATCGATCTCACTATCGATCTCACTATCGATCTCGCTATCGTTCTCACTCAACGGGACACCACGGGCCACCACAAGACGCCACGGGACACCAGCGGGACACCGCGGGCCACCGGCCGCTGGAGGAGAAACATTTGGCATGGCCGCTGCCCAGCCACAGGAGGATTTCGGGACACCAGCGGGACACCGCGGGCCACCGGCCGCTGGAGGAGAAACATTTGGTCCGGCCGCGGCCCAGCCACAGGAGGATTTCCTCTCGCCCGCCCACGCAGCTTCGCCTCGCCCGCACGCACGCACGGCACGCACGACAGGAACCCGAAACCGAAATCGACTTCCAGGTAGGGGTGGTCTCCGTTTCACGTCGGACTCACCCCCCAACCTCCGACTCCAATCTACTTCAATGATCGAGTGGCTTCACCTTTTCCGTCCTTCAAGGGCGCTGCCCAAACCCAATCTATTTTCAACGCCTTCCTATTTCATGTTTCTGCGTACTTCTTCCGACCGATGGGTACAGATCCTGGGCCCAGGATGAGCCTGGCCAGGATCGGTGTAGGCGTGCAGTTGACGTTCCACGACCCGCGTCGTCGCCGCCGCCGCTGTCCTCGTCCCTGAGGTTCGTCCCCGAGGTTCGTGCGCCAAGGGCCTTCAGCGTTTCGGCAGCCCTCCTGGGCCCGGGGGGGCGCCATTGTGCCCACGGTCGGACTCCCCATTCGGGAGTCTGGCCACAGCACACCCCGGCAGAGGTTTGGTAGCCGTCGTCGTCGTCGTCGTCGTCGAATGTTGCTGGACTCAAGGAGCATGTCACGCGCCCACTGGGCCGTCAAAGATCGATGCAGGGTGGAAAACTGTCGGGATGGACCACGGGATGGGTCTGGTAATCGACGATTTTGATGGGATCTCGAGCGGGGGGGGAGAGTGAGTGATGACAGGGGAGGAGAGGGGGGGGGAATGGGGAGTTGACGGCTCCTACATCCTCTTGCCCTGCCCTCCCACTTCTCCCCCGCCTCATGGCCCCCATCCCGTCTCTCCCCCCCTGCTCGTCGTCGTGCGCGTCGACGTCGTCGACGTCGTCGAGTTGTCGCGGTCATCATCCTGTCCTTCGTCGTCGTCATCATTTTCGGCGTCGTCGTCCTCGTCTTCGTTCACGTCATCGTCTTCGTCATCGTTACCGTTTTCGTTTGCGGTGGCGCGTTCTCCTCCCCGGAGCCGTCGCCATCGTCTTCGTCGCCGTTGTAGCCGCCGTCGCCGCCGCCGTCGTCGTCGTTGTCGGCCTCGTCGTCCTCATCCTCCTCCTCCTTTCCCTCCTCCTCCTCCTCCTCGCCCTCCTCCTCCTCGCCCTCCTCCTCCTCCTTCCCCTCCTCCTCCTCCTCGCCCTCCTCATCCTCCTCTTGCCCTCCTCCTCCTCCTCCTCCTCCTCCTCCACGGCTCGGTTCGGTCTCAGGCGAGAGGTTCGTCTTCGTTGTCGTGTCCGTCGTCTTCGACGTCCCAGTCGCCCTCGTCGTGTTCGCCTCAGGTGTGGCACTGGCCACCTGCCCTTCTCCCAGTGGGGCGGGGAGCTCAACGAGCAGAACCAGCGAGTTATCAGGGCCGACTGCGACCGCACGCGCGCCGAGCACGAGTTCTTCCGCAGGGGAGACGCTGGCCTGAAGAGGGGTAGGGGGCAGGGAGAGGAAACGGAGCATTGGGAGGTGGGGAAGGAGGAGGGGGGCATGAAGAAAATGATGATGAAGACGGGGAGGATCTCGAGGAGGACAAGGAGGGGAAGTGAGGGGGAGGACGACGCATGAGGGTGAGGACGATGAGGGAAGAGGATGAGATCCTCCCAGTTCTCCTCCTGTTCCTCTGTCGTTCCTCCTCCGTCCGCATCCTTCTCCTTCTTCTCCTCCTTCTTGCCTCCTCCTTCCTCTTCTCGTCCTCCCTCCTCTTCCCCCTAAGCCCCTATTCCCCCCCATCCACCCCCTTCTCCCCGCGCGTGCGCGGGGGGAGAGGATATATGGAATCCTTCGAGCTCGGTTCCGCGATCCCATCACACGAAACGTCAGTGCAGACGTACACGCGGGCCGTTGGACGTATGTAGTTTTCGGATGTTCGGATCCCAATCTACGTCAGAGTCCTTCCTACCTTTCCACCGTCCTTTCTTCTCTCTTCCTTTCCCTTCAGGGTCCTGGCGGAGGCCCAATATTTTTCCAACGCCTTCTTACGTCATGGTTCTACCCACTTCTTCCAACCGACGGGTGTTGTACGTTTGGTGGAGGGCCGGTCCAGCAGGAGCGCGAGCCGACATTGTCCACAACATGTTGACGCCTCACACCTCCCGCACGTCCAGAGGGAAGAGGGCTTAAGTTGTTCGAGGGAGCTGCAGCATGCAAGCATTGTTCCGAGGGAGGGGCCGAGGAGGGGTCGGGGGAGGAGGAGGAGGAGGCGTATGATGTTTTCGAGCGGAGAGCTGGAGGCACGTGGGAGAGGGCGAGCGGCACCCTCTCCCTCCTTGCCTCACCTATTCCTTGCTCACGTGTTTCTCCTCCCCCTCCTCCTTCATTCTTGGGGGAGGAGATGGTGGAACAGGAGAGGGAGATGCAAGAGGGAGCGGAGAGGAAGAGGGATGAGGCTATCGATGCTGTTCGCATGCTTGCGGGACGTGCTCGAATGGCGTCGCGCGTCTTCGGAGGTCCCCAGAGGTTCGCAGGGGTCCGAACCAGTTCTGAACGCTTCGAGGTGGGACTTCGGGGGCGGGGGGGGGAGGGAGGGGGGAGGAGGAGAGGAAGCAGGAGCACGAGGGGGACGAGATTCTCGAGGACGGGGAGGCGTGCCTGCTCCTCCTACAGTAGTCCTCCACCCGGCCTCCCTCCCTGGAGGGGTGGAAGAGCGGGGGCGAGAGGCCAGGCAGGAGAAAGAGGCGGCGGGGAGGCGGAGGAGGAGGACGAGTAGAACAATGAGAAGGAACGGGGTAGGAGGACGAGTAGAACAATGAGGAGGAACGGGGTAGGAGGGGGAGCAGGAGGAGGAGGAGGAGGAGGAGGAGGAGGAGGAGGAGGAGGAGGGGTGGAGGCGGCTGCGTTGGCACGACACTCCAGCCAACAGGCAACATGCAAGAGGTGGAGGGAGAGGAGGAGGGAGAGGAGGAGGAGGGGGAAGGGGAGAAGGCGGTGGACGGGGCAGAAACGACGCAGAGGGGGGGTACGAGGCGGAGGAGCTGCAGCAGGAGCATGGGGAACGAGATGAGGAATTTTCCCAAGGAGATGTCCGTGCGAAGATGGAGGCCATGCTGACATGCTGGTGCCAGCAGCAGCAGGCGCGGTACAAGCAGGCCTCCGCCTCCTCGCGATTCCCCCCCTCCCTTCTACGCCGGATCACGAACACCTACGCAGGATCACGAACATTCCCCCCAACGAATTCCCCTCCCTAGCCGTCCCCACGCCGACTTCGTCTACGATCCTTGAGGTCTTCGTCCCACCCGCGCTGGCCTTCAGGTCCCCGCCATGTCGGTCACTGGCACATTTCATTTCCCTTTTTCCCTCCATGTGTCTTCATCCCCCCCCCCCCTCCCCCAGTCTTCCCCAGTCTTGCAAGCTCCTTGGGCCATCTCTCCCTTAATCGCTTCTCCACTCCCCCTTCCCTCGCACAACTCCGCGCTTCTCTTCCCTCTCCGTCCGCCCTCCGTGTTCCTTCGTCGTCCATGCTCCCCTTCCCCCCCTCCCCGACTCCTCCTCGTCGTCCGCCCCCAGGGGCTCTGCGATTTGCTCCTCGCCGTCGTCGTCGTGTGCTTTGCGCCGTCGTCGTCTTCCTCGTCCTCCCCCTCGTGGTCGTCCTCCTCGCCGCCCCCCCCCCCTCCACTCCCCGACTCCACATCTTCGTCCTCCCCGTCGTCCCCCGCCCCCCTACCCTCCGCAGGGGCTCAACGAGGTGTTGGCGCCCTTCCTGCTCCTGCAAAGCGGCCCCGCCGCCGAGGCGCCCACAGACGACGAGGTCTACCTCTGCTTCGCTGCGTTCCTGCGCCGCTTCGCGCCCTTCTTCGAGAACGGCGCGTCCTTCTGCAAGTCGAGTTCGGCATCGAATATCTACGAGTGTTCCCCTATTGTTTCTATGTTTATATATATATATATATATATATGCACGTGCGTGTGTGGCAGCTGCTGCGGTCGGGCCTCCTTCCTCCTGCCTCTGCGTTCGCCCTCTTCTCTTCCAACCGCACTTGCATGCCTTAGCTCGTCGCGCCCCTCCGGCCTACAAACTCGCTTGCGTCCGGCAGCGCTGCAGACGAGCAAATGCGTTAGGTATCCAGGACTCCGAATAGTGTGTAGTTGCGCCGTGGGTGCGAAAGCTACGCGTTGTGATCTGTGACGCGTACGCTAGGCGTTGTGAGGAGGAGGTGCAAGCTATGGGGTGTGAGTTATGCCATGTTAGCTGTGTCTTGTAAGCTAGGCCGTGTGAAGTGGCGGTGAAGGCGATTGGATCTAAGCTATGTGTGAGGTCTGTATGCGATGTCGTATAACAAGTGCGGGTTCAGCCTTGTGTGGGCCTCCTGGACGGCCCTCGTCACCAACGCTGGATTCGCCCGGAAATCCTGGTCAGAACGCACCCCGGGAGAGGTGCGGGGAGTAGCGGTATCGGTATCTGTTGGTCTACCCAGGAACCCCTTAAGTACAACGTCGGGGAACAAATTCAGAAATTTCAGCAGTGCAAGCACAGCTTGGGGACTGGAGATGCGCATTTCTATCTGTTCAAGCGTACATGCGTTGACGACAAACACTGCGTACCTATACGTATCCTAGCATCAGGCTGTGCCTAAGGGGTTCTTTGCCCGTCGAAGAATCTGGCGGGTACGAAGCCCCAATTCCGAGGCGGCGCTCGGCCTTCCTTGGGCTCCTTGGTCTTGGGCTCCTCGGGCCTTCGTCGGGTTCCTCGGTCTTTCGATCCTCGGGCTTTCCTCGGACTCCCTGGTCCAGGTTTGTTTCGCCGAGTGATGCCAAACAGTGGCAGGCAACGCCAAGCACTGCCCAGCAACGTCAGACATTGCCCCGCCATGCAGAGCCAATGCCCATCAATGCAAAACCAAGGCCAATCAATGCAGCGCCAATACCAAGCAATGCCCAGCAACGCCCATGTATGTCCAGCAGTGCAGAACCAATGCCAAGTAATGCCGAGCAGTGCTCAGAAATACAAAGGCAATGCCAAGCAATACCCAGCATTGCAAATCCGATGCAACGCATTGCCAAGAAGTATCGCCCTTCAATGCAGAGCCGATGCCAAGCACTGCAATGCGACGCCAAGCAACGCCAAGCAATGCCACGCAACGTCTAGCAACGAGGCCAATGCCGAGCAATGCCAAGCAATGGCCAACAACGCCAAGCACCGCCCTTCAATGCAGGGCCGATTCCAAGCGATGCCACACAACGTCAAACAATGCCAAGCAACGCAAGGCAATGCCAAGCGACGTCCAGCAAAGCCTAGCAACGTCAAGCACTGCCCAGCACCGGACATTCAACGCCAATCAATGCCGAGCAACGCCAAGTCATGCGCCAAGCACCACCCCGCAATGCAGAGCCAGTGCCAATCAATGCCACGCAACGTCAAGCAATGCCGAGCAACGCCAAGCAGTGCCGAGCAACCGCAAGCAACGTTTTGAAACAATGGCAAGCAGCGCCAAGCCATGCTTCGCATTGCATTGCTTTGCACTTCTCAGGACTGCTTTGAATCGCTTTGCCAGAAACACGTCTAATTGGGGTCGTGTCGGCAGACCTCGATTTCAGAAAGCATGCGTTTTTGTTGGAGGGCTCGAGCAGAACTGTGTTTGGGAGATCTCGTGGACCGTCTTCGTGGCTTTGCAGCGAAGACGGAACGAAGACAGAACGAGGGGAAACGAAAGTCACACGAACACTAACAACACTGTTTAGCTCGAGCCCTGATGTATGGAAGCCGACACTGGAAGCCGAATCCGATGGCAGAAAGCACGCAGTTCTCTCTTCGACTCTGACGACTTCGTGCCCCTGCAGTGCGCCTTCGTCCTCTTCCGGCGGCTGCTGCTGTACCACCGCCCCGACATCCACGGCCGTCTCTCGGAGGGGGGGGTGACCCCTGACATGTTCTGCATGCCTTGGCTCTCGGGGGAGAGGAAGCCCCGTGCTCCGCTGTTCCGTATCATTGAGCCGATCTCCATCTCCATCTTCCCACCATGCAGGGTGGGCCTTTTCCCTAATCCGTGCTTCGGTGCGGGTCGTCTGCGCGCCTCGTCTTCTTCGTCGTCGACGTCGGCGTCGTCGTGGTTGTGGTGCGTGTTATCTGCTCAGAGTTGATTTCCCTTGTGCAGTGACCACCACCACCCACCATCCCACCATGGGGGAACAGACAATGACATAAACAAACGCTTTCGACGGGCCGCGCGGACTTCGTGGAACGGTGCTCGAGTCCCCTGGCGACGCCTCCAGCGCCGCCATGCTCCACACGCCCAGGGAGGGGGTCCAGCGCCCATCCAAGAAATCCGCGCGGACTTCCGAAAGTTTATAGCACCCCGCAGTTGCGGATGAGAGTGAGGGGGCGGCGGGGACGTCGGCAGTCTGCGAGGCTCTGAGAGGAAGCCCGCCGCAGGCGCCAAATTTTTACAAAGACCACAACCAGCCCGCCGCAGGCGCCGACTTGTTCGTTAAAGCAGCGTTCGTGGGTCGCGGGGTCGGTCGCAGGTGGGTCGCGGGTGGGTCGCGGGTGGCTGGGTCGCGGGTGGATCGCGGATGGGGGGCGGGTGGGTCGCGGGTGGGTCTCCGGTGGATCGCGGGGTCGGTCGCGGGTGGGTCGGCGGGTGGGTCGCGGGTGGGTTGCGGGAGGGGTCGCGGGTGGGTCGCGGGTGGGTCGTGGGTGGGTCGCGGCTGGGTCGCGGCTGGGTCGCGGTTGGGTCGCGGCTGGGTCGCGGCTGGGTCGCGGCTGTGTCGCGGCTGTGTCGCGGGTGGGTCGCGGGTGGGTCGCGGGGGAGTCGTGGGGTCGGTCGCGCGTGGGTCGTGGGCCGGGTCGCGGGTGGGTCGCGGGTAGGTTCGCGGGTGGGTCGCGGGACGGGTCGCGGGGGGGACGACGCCAAACGTCAACAATAAAAACAACAACCAACCAACCAACCAACCAACCAACCAACCAACCAACCATCCATCCAACCAACCAATCAACCAACCAACCAACCAACCAACCAACCAACCAACCGACCAACCATCAAACCAACCAACCAACCAACCAACCAACCAACCAATTAACTAAACAACCAACCAACAAAAACAACTAGCCAACCAACCAACCAACCCACTAACAAACAAACAAATAAGCAAACCAACAAACAACTCACCAACCAAACAAACAACCAACAACAACAGTAACATAAACAACAACACTAGCAATAACAGCAACACCGTCAACAATTCCAGCAACAGCAACACTAATCCACATCGCGGAATGCCACTTCAGCCGCGCACCCAGAGACAGTGAATGATCGTTTGGCCACCTTACTCTGACAAGTCCACAACGAGCCCGCCGCAGGCGCCGGTTTTTTTCGTTAAAGCAGTGTTGATGGGTCGCGGGGTGGGTCGCGGGTGGGTCGCGGGTGAATCGCGGGTGGGTCGCGGATGGGTCGCAGGTGGGTTGCGGGCTGGGTCGCGGGTGGGTCGCGGCTGGGTCGCGGCTGGGTCGCGGCTGGGTCGCGGGGTCGGTCGCGGGTGGATCGCGGAGAGGTCGCAGGTGGGTCGCGGGATGGGTCGTGGGTAGGTTGCGGGCCGGGTCGCGGGTGGGTCGCGGGGTCGGTCGCGGATGGGTCGCGGGTGGGTCGCGGGTGGGTCGCCTGGGGTGTCGCGGGTGGGTCGCGGGTGCGTTGCGGGTCGGTCGCGCATGGGTCGCGGGTGGGTCGCGGGTGGGTCGCGGGCCGGGTCGCGGGGGGGACGACGCCAAAAACAACAACACCAAGAACAACCATAACAATAACACCAACAACAATAACAACATCAACAACCATAACAACAACACCACTTTTACTACCAAAAGCAACATCAACAGCACCAACAACATCACCAACAACAAAACCAGCAATAACAACAACGGTAAAACAAACAAGCAAACAAACCAAACAAACCAACATTTATCACCAAACACAACAGAAACAATAACAGTTACAACAACAGCAACAAAACCGCATCGCGGATCCCCACGTTGGAATGACCGTTCGGCCCCTTCACTCTCATGTTTATGCCATCTTTCGTTTCTCTACACCACCCCAGCTTGGGAAATGCCTCTCGAAACCCGAAAGCAGCGGCCTATACCCCCATCTAGGGGGGGTTAATGTAGATTCGGCAGTGGGGCCCAGGCCACGCTGGCGGGGATTGGGATCGGTTAAACGATGTTCAGTTGTGTGTATTCGCAGACAGCGCCGACGCGAATCGTGACGTGACCAGGGGAAGTGGGAGGAGGGTGGGAGGGGCCCGTCACGGGCGTTACCGCGAATGAGCATCTAGGTCCGATCAGCATGGTGGGGTGGATCGCGTGGGGGGGGTCAGAATGGGGTGTCTTTCGCGGGACGTGTGGGCGGTTGGGTCGCTCGAAATTGTGGGTTAGGAAGGCTTGGGGGGGCCAAAATGGGCTGTTGATCGGGGCGGCATTGACGGGGACTCATGAAGCAACGCGGAGTAGCCCGACCAAGATGGAGAGGGTCCCTAGGTCACAAGCGATTCCAAACGTGCATGCGTTGATCTGTCTCGGGTTTCGAGAGAACGCACTGCGCGAGGGTTCGTCACACGAGGCGGGCTTCGCGAACTGGCTGGTCGTATTCGTGAGCGTTATGGTGCGCGTTCTTCCGCAATTCGGCCCTCGAGGGAGAACACCATCAATGCCTAGATGGCCCCTCCTCCGCCTTCGCCCCCCTCCTCAGGTTCCTGACGCTCTTCGCGAGCAAGTCCCCGCTCAAGGTGACGTTGCAGCTGTGGGACCGCCACCTGGAGCCAGCCCAGCCACAGATCCACAACTATTGACGCTTCGGGTGTCCCCACCAGCCCACTCAGAAACCCTGCCCATGAAAGGGTCGAAGAGACACATCTAGTGAAACAAAGCGGGCAACCAGGATGAACAGACAGATCTCTGGAGCAAGGGGGTGGCCTTGGAGGGCCTCTTCGGGTCATCCTTGGGGCCCGCGTGGGTGCGAGGGAGGAGGAGGACGACGACGACCACGACGACGACGAGGAAGAGGAGGAACAAAAGGAAAAGGGTGAGGGCAAGGACCACAGTGAGGACGGGGAGCCCTGGGGGGCCTCTTGGGGCTATCGTGGAGGGCGTCGTTGAAAAGAGAGGGGTCGTAACGATTGGTTCCCCATGAGGGGCCCTCGAACTCGCCCCCTCGGGCCCTCTGGGAGCGCTCGTGGGGCGATCTTGGGCACTCTTGGGGCCGTTTTGGGGTCTCTTGAGGCTCTCTTGAGCCATATTCGAGCTACCCTCGAGCCTCACAACGCATCGGAGACGAAAGGGCGAGAAGGCTACTCCAGATTTCGTAATAAAAGGGAAGGGGTCTGGACCCTCCAAGACAAGCCATTTCAGACCTCCCCCGTGGGAGACCCCTCCAAAACCTCGTCCCCAGACCCCCCAGGCCCTCCAAGATAGCCTGGAAGAGACCCCCCCCGAAATGAGACCCCCCTCCCTTTATTACGAAATCTGGAGTAACATCATTGATTTGCCTCATGTGTTTGAAGAGTGCTGGCCTCGTGGGGTGGCCATGAAGGGGCTCCGAGAGCATTTGGAGCCACCTTGCGGCCCTCGTCGGGCCTCTTGGAGGCATGCCGGAAGCTATACTGAATCATCTCCGGCTATCGTGAGCCGCCGTGGAGGCCATCTTGGAACATTTGAGGCCCTCTTGGAGCCATCTTGGGCCATCTTGGACGCTCTGACCTGTCGCGGCCCGCCTCCAGAAACCTCGGTGAGGGGAGGGGGAGGGTACCAATCCCGCAAGGGAGGATGCTTTTGTCAGTATCGTTGAACCGATCCCCATGCCCATGCTCATCCCCTTGGAGACCCCCACCAAATTAGACCCCAGTTGGGGATACACCCCTCGAAACCCGAAGGCTATGGCCTATATCCCCATCTAGGGGGGTAAATCGGCCAATGGGGCCCAGCCCACGCTGGTGGGGATGGGGATCGGTTAAACGATGCTCATTTTGGGAGGAGGGAGATCTCGCTAGACCACCTTGGCGCAAAGGGTTTGTGGGATTATATGCTAACGGAGGCCCGCGCGGATTTCTTCTGTCGGCTTTGGGCCCTCCTCCCCACACCCTGAGAGATACGAAATGACGAATCGAAACTTGTTATACCACGGGCACCGGCCTCTCCAGAATTTCTGAAAAGCAGCAGGGCACTCTCTGTGCTGGCCTGCTGGGCCTAGGGCGCTGTCAGCGCCACCGGAACTACAAAAATGGCCTACTGCATCAACCGTGGAGATAGATAGATACAGCCGTCCACCACCCCAATCAAACCAACGAACAAAGGTGAGACAAATGCTCACC